CTTAATTAGAATTCCCCATGCCTTTTTTATATGAGTACTATACATTTGACAGTTTAATTAATCTTTTTTAAGAGACAGATTTTGGATTTTTTGATTGATAGGTAGATAGAGAGATTAGCATTTTCTGAAATGATTAGTAAAATGTTGCTTTAGTTTGTATTACATGGATTTGCTTTTCTTTAATAACTCATCCAGAAATGTTCCCTACTCCCCATCTCCCTGACCATTCCCTACCCTGCTTCTCCTTTTTACATACTTCCTCCTTCTTTTTTTTTTTTTCTTATATGTTTCAGGTTTAGCAGTTATTAAGCACCTGCAGCATTGGGCTGCCCAAGGGCTTCTCTTTTTCCTGTGCAGAGCACCATCTCCTCGATGCCTGTGTCCACCACGCTGGCCCAGAGGGTAGGTAATGTCACATTCTCCCTCTCATCTAGGATGGTAGAAGATCCCCAGTGATGCTACTTTCTGCCTTGTGTTTTTCTTTCAGCTCTTCCTTCACTAATGTAACCAATACTTACCATTAAACTGCCTCTGCTTTAAATGCACTGCATGCTTTCATTTTTCTTGGTTAAATTCTACTGATGCAGTGCCCCTTCATATTTTTTCAATTCTCACTTAAACAAGGTATAAAAAAAGAAGCAGGTAACAAATTTCCCTTTAAAAAGTGAAAAAAAAAATACAGTATATTGTCCTAAAAGTCATTAAGGGTGATCCATCCGCATTTATGAGAGGAAAGCATTGTTTCTCCCACTTTCTTGTCAGAGCTTTTAATTTATACMTGAGTACGATCTGTCAAACAACCTTTGAAATAGTGTTTCTTTCAAGCTGCATCTACAAACTAAGGGTTTTAAAGATCCATAAAGTATATTTCATTACCTGTGTTCCAAATTGATTCCACGTGTTTCTCTAATTTACACAATTGTGTACTTAGCACAATTTTATTTTATTTTATTTTTTGTGGGGAATGAAATTGAACCAAGGACCTTTTACATGCCAGGCAAGCACTCTACCAACTGAGCTATATCCCCAATCCCTTAGTACAATTTTAAATTTCTTGGTTAAACAGAAACAAAATAAAAATACTCAATATCATAAATATCATGGTGAATGTTGGTAATAGACTTCAATTTGTGAAAATATTGGCCTGTTAGATGGTGTGGTACATAATAGAAATGGACTCTCACTAACAAAAACTAGTGGCATTCAAATACGTAATTAAGGTAAGATATATTAGAGGGACTTTTTACCTTTGGGTGAATAGGAATTAAGAATCCTTGAGGCCAGTAGCTTTAGCCTTACAGAGGATGCCCTGGTTAAGTCAATAAGCTAAGGATGATTCTGGAAGGCCGGCGTTGAATGGAAGGAGACAGCGCCTCAACAATCTTGGCAAGGTTATGCTTGCAGAACTTCAAAGGTCTGAAACAGAACATCCTTTAACCTACAGAACCATTTAGATGGATTTTTCTACTTACATTTTACAAATGGTGAGTTAAAAGCCTGTATGTATTGTAGAATATGTTTATCACTTTCTTTTATAATAGCCTTGTACTGACTTTCAGTGTGAATGGACAAAATGGTAAATACTCAGCACTTTGAATTTATTAGTCATCTACCAAAAGGTCAGTTTCTGCAAATCCAAAGTGATTCAGGACATTTCCTAAGAGGGCAATTAGTCCTTAACAAAATGAATGGATTATGTACATTTTACATATCGAATAAACATGAAAACTCAATAAGAAATTATATAAGATCATAATAATAAGAATTATGGGCTGGGGACGTGGCTCAAGTGGTAACATGCTCGCCTGGCAAGTGTAGAGCACTGGGTTTGATCCTCAGCACCACATAAAATAAAAAATAAAGATGTTGTGTCCACCAAAAACTGAAAAATAAATATTTTTAAAAAATTCTCTCTCCTCTCTCTTTCTCTCTCTCTCTCTCTCTCTCTCTCTCTCTCTCTCTCTCTCTCTCTCTCTCTTAAAAAAAGATTTATGAAGCAATAAAAATCATAGTGTGATGGGAATAATGAGTGATTATATTTCAAGTATGGCATTCACAACTACTCAGTTACAAATAATATACTAACCATAGGCATCAGGAATGTAAAGCTCAATGGTGCTCAATGGTAACTTAATGTGGTACCTTTTACTTTTATGAATAGGCCTGTAGAATAGCTCCATTATTGTCTGGTGGTAAGCAAATTAATTATTCTCACCATGTGTGGTTTTTTATCTGTTAATTAGTATATCAGAAATGTGTTATGAGTAGTAAATGAGCCAGGATTAATGGATTACCAGCCATATAATAAGTGCCCAATTAATGTTTAGCTATTATTAAAATAACAATGGTCTCCAAAAAGATTTAAAAAGCCATTAATTTGCTAACACAAAATTTGTTACAGATCATGTAATYAATTTATAAACAAAGAATTAGAGCAACAGTTCCTAGTTAATGCTGGCAACTGAGACCCCTGGAGACAGTGCAGTGAGGTATTTATGAAATGCAGTCATCCTTTTACATTATGAATCTGCATCTTCCCATACTGAGAACCTGTGCTGAGATGAAGCACTGTTGTCATTGTGGGTGGGCTGCTCACTCACACCCTCTCCAGAGGGGAAAATGAGAATCAAAGGGCTCAAGGGCAAAGAATATGACCTGATCTAACAAAGAAGATAGGATGCTCTGGCTCTGGGTGGGGCACTGTTCTAGGGATTGGCAGTTAGCCTTGGTAGAGAAAAGATAATATTGGCAGATGCCCAGTCTATTCAATAGGAAGGTTCAGGTGCAAGAAGCTTCTTGGACAATTTATTTCAAAGTTCTGCTCTAATATTTAATATAGAACCATCTATATTTTTATATTTATACTTATGGAGGAGAGGACTGAACATTAGCATAAAATACTTTGAATGAAGCTACACTAGCACGTTGCATGTGTTCATCAGGATGGCTGTATAGGGAAACCTTCTATTTTCCTTCTATAATTTTTGACTTTAGTGATGGAGCCACCTTACATTAAAAACCATGGTTGTTTTTAGCCCTTTAGCTAATTTTACACAGTTTATTTCTCTCTCTCTCACACACACACACACACACACAAAGTCAAAATTTTGTTTTGGGTTTGAGGTCAGAATTGTTTTGACTTGTTCTGACAAACATACTTATATTTTTTATCTTTGCAATTTATCATACTGTATTATCTTTAATTATTGAGAATTCTCCAACATGCCACTAGAAACCATTTCACTACTAGTTTACTTGGCCACCAGTCTCTTTCTTCATGAGTGAACAGATGGATTCCTTTTCTTGGGGTAGCAAAGTGCATAGTTTGTTGCTTTTGTCATTAACAAATACGTTGACAAGCCAGGTGGTATCACTCACATGAACCATATCAAAAGAGCCAGGATGTCTCTCTGCTATGATCACAGCAGGATTTCCCAGGTAAGCACCTCCAGGACCCATACAGATCACTATATTCTTCCATGAGGAGATCAGGGTGCAAATGGTGTGAGCATTGTGGATAACCAGACAAGGGATTCTTTTTTTTTTTACCTACAAAGATCTTTCTCACTTTCCACAACTTATATTGGAGTTCCTCAGGTTACTACAATAAATAGCAAAGTGATCCCTGGTGTTATAGATCAGATGGACATCATCTCTAGTCTTGTCACTATTGATGATGTCATAAAATTATCA